CGGTCGGGCGAGCGGGACCCCCACGGTCCCGGTGTCCGGACCCCTCCAACTCGCGGTCTCAGCGCGCAGCCCCTCGCCGCGGTCCCGGGACGCTGCCCCCCGATGCGCTCCGGTGTTGGCGGGGCGAGAGGGGGACCGTTGCCGTTGCCCGCACGGTGGTCGCGGGGGTGAGGGGGCTCCGGCGGGGCACTGACCTGTGCTGCCGGCCTCGGGGGCCGCCATCCTTGTTCGGGGGCCCCGTGAGCCTCCCGGTGCGGAGCGGAGCGGAGCGGAGCCGAGCGGAGCTGAGCCGTGCTGCGCCGCCGCCCGGTGCGGGCTGTTGTGCGCCCGCCGCCCGCCCCGCCGCCCCCCGCACCGGCCGCGGCTGCGCACTGGGCCGCACGCGGCGCCGCCGCCTCCCCCATGTGATTCCCGGGGACAGCCTCGTGCCCCAGTGACACACTTTCCGCCGGCGGCCCCGGCCCCGCGCCGCCGCCGGGGAGCCCGGGCTCGGTGGGGACCCCCGCACCGGGGCCGCCTGACGGACCGCGGGGACCGGCACCCGCGCCCGTGCCTTGCATCGTGGGCGCCGGGTGGCCCTCGTGTCGCCCCTGCGTCGGGGACCCCCCCGGCTCAGTGCTGTGCCCTGCACCGCTGACACTTCTGTCACCTGGCACTAGGCTGTCCCCGGCACCGGAGACCCCCCAGGCGCGGCACTGGCAGCCCTGTCACCTTGCACAGCGCTGTCACCCGCACTGGGGACACCTGAGAGTGGCACTGTCCCCTGCAGCGGGGAGACCCGGGCACAGCGCTGTCACTGTGTGTGGCACCATCCCCTGGGGACACCTGTGTCACCCGGCACAGCACTGGGGACCCCCAGGTATCCCTGTCACCCTGCATGTCAGCGTCCCCTGCACTGGGGACACCCAGGTGGCACTGCCACCCCGTATGGCACTGCCCCTGCAATAGGGACCCCCAAGCACCCCTGTCAGCCCTCAAGGCACTATCCCCTGAACTGAGGACACCCAGATACCTCTGTCACCCCTCAAGGCACTGTCCCCTGCACGAGGGACCCCCAGGTACCCCTGTGACACCATCCCCTCTGCCCACCAGCGTGGCCCCAGCACTGCAGCCCCCGCCCCGCAGCAGGAAGGACTCTGCATGGCACAGCCCCTGGCACAGCCACATCCCCTGCCCGCTGCCCCCTGCAATGTCCCCCTGCCCAGTCCCTGCTGTCCCCACTCTGCCCACGGCGGGTGCCCGCTGTGGCACGTGCCTGGCATCCACGTCCCAGCCTGGCCCCGCTCCCGGCTGCCGCGGGGGCTGCGGCGATGCCAGAGCAGAGCCGGTGGCAGATCTGGGTCGCAGCGCCGGGGCCAGCCCAGCCCGGTGACACCGGGGGCTCCGTGGGTGATCGTGCCCCCCTCGCCGAGGGGAGGGTTTTGGGGGTGCTTAGCACCCTCCTGGATGCCACGTGCCGGGCGCTGTCCTGGCCCCCAGCCAGGATGAGAAGGAGCAGAGCACGGATGTGCCAGAGCTGGGAAATCCTCGGAGCTAATCCCACGGGAGGGGGAGGCCTCCGGTGCCTCGGCTGTGCGGGGTGCCCCGGGCAGGGGGGGACACCGGAGCCCTGTGGCCCAAGGACCCCCCTGGCTCCAGCCCTTTTGGGTGTGCGGGGCCGTTCCTCAGCTGGGGGTTCCCAGGGGGAGTGGGGGGAATGCTGAGAGTGCTCCTGGCTTTTGGGGCAGTAGGAACACCCCGACACCCTACAGGACGTGCTCTTGCCCTGAGTCAGCGGGCGGTTGAGCTGTGCTGGGGCACCTCCGGTCGGGAGAACCGCGGCAGCTCCCGGAAGGATATGTGGGGCCAGGCTGGCAAGGGACCCGGGGGACCCGGGGGGGACGCCGGTCCTGGGGCGAGGGGCCCCTCCTGCCCCATCCCCGCTCCCAGCGGGGCCGTGCCCAGGGTGTCCCGACCGTGCAGGTGCCCGCGGCCCCACGCGGCTCCTCGTTCCCCTCCCGGCACGTTCCCGGTGATTATCCATGACTCAGCCGCACGTCTGGATTGGGAAAACATCCCTGCGCACGGCGCTGCGGCACACGGAACACGGCGCCAGGGATGCTCGCCTGGACGCTGATCCCTCAGGGATCCCCGGGAAGGGAGTGGGGCTGGGAGGGACGGGATAAAACCCCTGGGGTCCCACTGTGGGGTCCTGCCATGGGGCAGGGTGAGAGTGCTATGAGCAAGGGTCTCAGGCAGGGCACAGCCGGGATATTCCAGGAATATCCCGACTCTGGGGACTACCCATGGAGAGCAGGGTGGGGGAGAGGGACCACGAGAGCCACCGGGACAGCGGGGTGCTGCAGCTGAGGTGCCCCGAGGACACCTGTGGGGGCGCTCCCCGAGGGTCCCCGTGCCCCTTCATCATGGCAGCGTTCGTGCCAACCAGTCCATGGCGCAAAGGGGGCAACCCTCAAGGACCCCCAAGGTCGTCACACGCTGCATCCTGCACCTCCACGGATCTGTGCACCCCTGCATTCTGCAACCCCAGATCTTGCCCCCCTGCACCCTCCTGCAGTCGCTGCACCCCTAGACCCTGCACCTCCGGGGGTCTCTGCCCCCCCACCCCCCCAAGCCTAGTTCTGCCCTGTCCCGCAGCGCCGGGATGCCAAGGGGTGCCTGGAATGTCGGGGGCACACCCGTCTCACCCCAGTCGCTCCCACAGGCATGCCGTGGTCCCCAACTGCACCCCCCTCCTCCCCCCAACTTCCAGCACCCCCCACGGGAGGGGGGTGGGGGAGGCGCTGATCCCATGCCCGTTCCCCTGCCACAGGGGAACGGGAGGCAGCGGTGGGGCAATGGGGTGAGGGGTGCCCGGTGCAGGGTGAGGGGTGCCCGGTGCTCGGTGCCGGTGCCGTGGCCGTGCCGCGTGACGCTCGTCCCGCTTCCCGCCCGGCGCCTGCGTGCCGAGGGTTTATTTTTACTCCGGGCTGGAGCCTTGTTTACCTTGTTGAACCTTTTCCAGGAAAAGGGGGGGGGGGGAGTCTCCGCAGGGAACGGGGGTTCGTTCCCGCCTGTCACCCCCCCCCCCTCCCCCGCAACCTGTCCCTGGGCTGGACACTGGGGCTGGCAGGGGGCAGGACCCCAGCCCTGCACTCCCAGACCCACCTGGACACCCCCACACCCACCGTGGGGCTGCAGTAGCCCCGTGGAGTTGGGGACACCGGGTCCAGCTGTGTCCCCGTGTCACCCTACGCACATCGTGCCTCAGTTTCCCCACCGAGAGCTGTGAGTGTGGGAGGCCAGAGGTGCTGGGTCTCACCCACTTGGGGGTCCTGCACCCCTGAGCCCCCTTTCATCTGTCCCAACTGACGGCAGTGGGGGAGGGAGGGAGGGGGCTGCAGCAGCCCCGGTGCTGCTGTGGGGGGCCAAGAGGGTGGTCGTGGGGTTTGGTTTTGGGGTGAGTTTGGGGTGTTTTCCTTCTGGGAGCAGCCCTGGCTCGGCCCCCAGCTCTTGGCTGGGGCAGCAGCTCCTGCTGCCAGAATCGCCCTCCCTCCCCGGGAACGGGAAAAATCGGGTAAACAAGGCAGGCCTGGCCCGGGCAGGGGCACCCCACGGCGGGTGGGGGCACCCCAATGCATCCCAGAACTGCGGGATGGAGAAGACTGGGCTTGGGGGGGTCAGAGACCCCAGGAGGTGCAGGGTCAGGGGGTGCAGGATCTGGGAGTGTGGGGACCCCCAGGAGGGTGCAGGGTCAGGGCGTGCAGGGGAGCACAGACTTGTGGAGGTGCAAGATTTAGGGGTGAATGCACCCCAGAAGAGTGCAGGGACCCAAAAAGGGGTACAGGATCAGAAGAGTGCAGGGACCCCAGAAGGGTGCAGGGGTTTAGGGTCTGGGGGTGCAGGGACCCTGGGAGGGTGCAGGGACCCAGAAATTGGGGTGATGCTGCAATATGGGGGTGCAGGACCCCTGGGGGATGGGGAATGCCGGTGTATTCACCATGCTGGAGGGGCTGAGGAGCCTCCTCAGGGGGAGCAGCTGGGGGCCCCCTCACCTGCCCCCCCCCCCCCCAAGATCTCATGTGTTTGTGTTCCCTCTGCAGCCACAGGACCCCACAAGGAACCTGGAGCAGCACTGGAGGCTCCTTCAGCCTCTGGACCCCCCACCTCGCACCCCCCGCCTGGGGACCCTCCTCCCCTTTCCCACGCCCCCATTGCCCCATGTTTGACCTTCCCAAAGGTCAAACGTGTTTGGAGAGGGGGGGGGCACCCCGTCAGCCCCCCACCACAGGTCACACAGCGGCCGCGGCGTCGTGGCCGGCGGCCCGGTTGGCATCTGCAGCGGCCCATGTGAGCGGGCTCCCTCCTCCTCCTCCTCTTCCTCCTCCTCCTCCTCCTCCTCCTCCTCCTCGCGCGGGGAGGCCTCTCCATGCGCGTCACGTGGCGCTGGCATGTGCGCCCTGCTCCATTTTTAGCCCCAGCAGCCTCCCTGCTGCAGAGCCATGTGCGGGCGGGCGCCGGCCGGCACGTGGGCCTGCCGCAGCAGGGATGGGCACCGGGCACCGGCACCGGCCCGGCAGAGCGGGCACGGCGGGGACACGGCACCCGTGTGCACGGGCAGGGGGGGTGCGTGTGAGCACGGCCACGCGTGTGTGTGAACATGGCTACGTGTGTGTGTGTGTGTGTGTGTGAGCACGGCTGTGCGTGTGAGAGCAGCCATGCCTGCACACAACCACGGCCTTGCATGTGTGTGAGCAGTCACACGCGTGCACAACCACACGCGTGCGTATGAACACCGCCACGCACATGTATGTGCGCAGTCACATGAGGGGACAACCACAGGGACAAACCACAGCCCCCCCCGTGTCCGGCCACGGCCATGCGTGTGCACACGCCAAGGGCACGGCAGGGCTCGGTGTGACCCACAGCACAGCAGAGACCGTGGAGGGGCTTCCCTCGTGCCACACCGTGGTGGGGGCACCGTGGGTGTGACCCGGGCACCGCACACAGGGGCACCCCGAGGCTCATGGGGTGGGCTGGGTGAAGGGTGACTCCCCCGTGTTGTGTTTGTGACTGTCCCTGAACGCAGCTCTGCGGAGAGGCACGTCCCCCACGTGTCCCCTGTGCGTCCCCAGCACGTGCCACGCGTGGCCCCTGTGTGGCCCCGGTGACAAAGACCCGTGTGCTGCTGGGGGGGTGGAGTTTCAGCACGGGGGGGGCGGGAAATGATACTGTGTGTGTATACGTGTACATACATGTCCATACATGCAAATACACGTCCATACGTGTGCTCTGGGGCTGCAGTCTGGTGTGTGTGCACGTACATACACGTGCATACATGTGCATATATGTCCGTATGTGCGCTCTGCAGCCTGGGGTATGTGTGTACATGCATGTCCATACGTGCAAATACACATCCATGTGTGTGCTCTGGGGTTGCAGTCTGGGGGTGCATGTGTACATGTGTCCACACAAGTGCACATGTGTACATATGTGTACGTATGTACGTGTGCTCAGGGGCTGAAGTTTGGGGTGTGTGTTTGCATGTGCAGGGGCTGCAGTGCCTGCGGGGCTGCATGTGCTGCAGTGGGGGGTGCAGCCCCTCCCTGCGGGGACACACACGTGTGTGTGTGTGCAAGCATGTGCATGTATGTACAGGCGTGTGTGCCAGGGCTGCAGCCTCTGCAGAGGGGGCGCTGCGGGTTTCTGTGTGTGTGTGCATGTCCTTGCACAGCAGGAACTGCAGAGCTGTGTGTGTGTGTCTCTGTGTGTTCTGGGGGGGGCTGTGCAGACCCCGTGAGCCACAGCGGAACAACCCCTTCGTAACGGGGTGGTCCCAGCACCTCCGTGCCCCGGTCCGGGGGTCCCCCCGCCCCGCCGCGGGACCCGCCCATGACCGCGGCTGGGTGCCAGCCCCGCTGTGCCCCGGTCCGGGGGTGCTCCCGCCCCGGGACCGGCCCGTGACCCGGGACCCCCCCCGTGGGGCGGGGACGGGCGCGGAGCGGCGGTACCACCGCTCTCGGGAGCCCCCGGGCGGCCGCCCCCGGTACTGCAGCGCGGGGACCCCCTCGCCCCACGCGCGTCCGCGTGCCGCGACCACCCTCCCCCCGCCCCGCGGGCAGCGGCGGGGGTTCCGTGCCGGGGGTCCCCACCGGGCCCCCCCACCCCCCCCGCTCCTCACCCCCGGGGATCCCACCGCCCCCACCGCCGCCGGCGCATGCGCGCCGGGCCCCGTTCGCCGGTACCCGGGGTCCCGTGCCCGGTACCGACCCCCGCCCCGCCGCCCCCCCCCCGCGCCGCTCGTCCCCGCGCGGGCCGTCCCCGGGGCGGGGGCCGCTCCGCGCCGATGCCCCCGGCGCCCCCCGCGCCGCCGCCCCGCGCTGCCGGCGCGCGGTAACGGGGCCCCGGCCATGCGGTCCACGGCGTTCCGGGGGGGCGGGCGGCGGCGGCCCGAGGGGGCGGGCGGGGAGGAGGAGGAGGAGGAGGGGGGGGAGGAGGGGGAGGAAGGCCCCGCTCCGCCGGCCCGGCGGCCCCGGGCCCCGCCGCCGCTGGGGGCACACACGGGCCGCGGCTGCGGGGTGGCGGAGCGGGAGCGGAGCGGGGCCGCGGCGGGGCCGGCGGCCGGCGGGGGCAGGGCCGCGGCGGGGGATGCGGGCGGGCTGCCCGGGGAGGCGGCGGCGGCGGGGCCGGGAGCGGGGCCGGGGCCGGGAGCGGGGCCCGCGGAGCCGGGGAAGCGGCGGCCCGCGGCCCGCGCAGCGATGGGCGCCGGCGGAGGGTCGCCCGGGCAGGCCGCCTGCCTGCGGCAGATCCTGCTGCTCCAGCTGGACCTGATCGAGCAGCAGCAGCAGCAGCTGCAGGCCAAGGAGCGGCAGATCGAGGAGCTCCGGGCCGAGCGCGATACGGTACGGCCGGGGAAGGGGGGGGGGAAGCACCGACGGGGG